GAGCTTGGCCTCTATTTTTTTTTTTATTATTATTTAGAGAGCTAAATAATAGAGCTTGGCCTCTATTGATGGAGCTCTGCTGCGGCTGGAGGGAACAACCTCACACACACACACACACACACACACACACACACACACACACACCCTTGTGCCCCAGCAGACGAATGGAGGAGGAGGGGAGCGGGCTCATGGCATCCCTGGACCCAGGTTGGTCAGATGGGCCTCTTCTAAGGGAGAGCTTGGAAGGGGAGAAACCGAACTGTGTCCCCAAGAGCTGAGGGATGTTCAGGTGCTTCTGTGGTGGGGAATCCCCCCCTCCCCGGTCCTCTTAGGCCGGTCTCAGATCTTAAATTAGAGTAAAATAAGGCCATCCGCACGATCGGGTGTTCCACCAGCAGGAATCGCCTGCGGGCATGGGGGACAGAGAGTCCCGGGTCACTCAGGCAAGTAAGCCAAGCTACAAGCAGCCGCTTTTGTGGCTGGTTTTCTTGACGCCTTTGCCTAAATAGCAGGCGGCTAAGAAGCCGTGCGAGAAACCCACAGCCGCCTCCCGTCCCTCTTTGGAAGAATCCGCATTGGTGGCTTCCGTGTCCTTTGAAGAGTCTGGGGGGGGGGACCCGAGGGTGGGCTTCCCCTGACCCTTCCCTGCGTCCTTCCTGCCCAGCAAAGGGGAAGCCAAAGGGGCCGAGTGGGCCGGAGAAGCACGAGGAGAGAGCCGCCGTTCCCCCGGGGAAAGGCCATCGAGGCTGCCAACACGCCCGTCCAGTGAGAGCTGGGAGTGTTTGGAGAGATTTATTTTCAATTACGGGTTGGAGCAGAGTCAGGCTCTGAAAGGGGAGCATAAATCCTCGGAGGAAATCCATGTATATCAGCTCCATATAATAAGATTTTATTGATTGCTATATTGTATCTGTCAGAATAAAACTCCCCTAATGCCTGCGTCAGGGCTGGGAAGATCAAAGGCTCCTTTGGCAACAGAATCTGATGCGGGAATCAATGCGCTTTGATTAATAGGTCATTAAGAAAGTCGAGTTATTTAACTTCTTCAAGGGGGGGATTTAAAAGGCCCCTTTCCAAGTGCCGCAGGGCCCGAGGGCCACTCTTGGGAGAGAAGAGCCAAGTTCCGCTTCTGCTTTCAGAAGCCCTGGACTCCTCGGAGGCCTCCGGGTGGAAGCAGGGGGTCCCTCCTGCCCTTCCCGGAAGGGGCAGCCACTTGGGGAACGCCTGAGGCTGCTTTCCAGCACGTGAGTGTGCCGGAGGGCGGGTGCCTCACTTCCAGTGGGATGTGCACAAATTTATAGGTCTCCGGGGACGATGCATAAAAGGGACTTTCCAGCAGGAGGTTAA